ACTCCACAACCCCCCCCCCACCGAGATTTATAGAAAGACGGCAGCTACGACCATGCTTTAAGCCGAAAACACCAACCTGAAGATAGCGAGTGAGACCTCGCCGAAACATTGCCAAGACAATCTCAATCTTACATGGGAAAAGACCCGAATACAACAAGACCAGCATATAACTAAAAATAAAGATAGTGACAGCGACAGAACTGGTTTCCTGACAGAACAAGTAATCAGTGGAACGACTTGCCTCCAGAAGTTGTGAATGCTCCAACACTGGAAGTTTTTTAAGAAGATGTTGGATAGCCATTTGCCTGAAGTGGTGTAGGGTTTCCTGCCTAAGCAGGGGGTTGGGCTAGAAGACCTCTAAGGTCCCTTCCAACTCTGTTATTCTATTCTATTCCATATTCTATTCTATTCTACTCCATTCCCTTCCATTCTATTCTATTCTATTCTACATTATTCTATTCTATTCCATTCCATGTTCTGTTCTGTTCTATTCTACATTATTCTATTCTATTTTACATTATTCTATTCTGTTCCTTTGTGTTCTCTTAAGAAGAGACTGGACAGCTACTTGTCTGAAATGGTATAGGATTTTCTACTTGAGCAGGAGGTTGGACTAGAAGACCTCCAAGGTCCCTTCCAACTCTCTTATCTGTTAATCTTCGGAAGCTATTTTCTTCATTATTTACTCTCTATTCTTTGCCTTCCCTCTGGGAACTTTACAACCTTCAAAATCTCTATTACTTTTATTTTTACAAAAGACAGGGCCTGCTTTCTGATTTTTATACTTGGAAAGCTGGCTGTGTATATATATATATATAATCTAGCCAAACCAGGTGGCTGTGAAGTGAGGTGAAAGAAATGCTGGATGCCTCAGTTGTTTAGCATTAGCTCAGTCTCTCAAGAATGGAAACTCCTGTTGTGAACGATGAAATCATTTCTCCAGTATACCCTGCAGATTAAATAACAAAAATAGGCTGGCCCTCGACCTTTCGAAGTGGCTGCGTTTCGGGTCCCTGCATTCGGAGAGTGGAGGAAGAGAGTCGAAGGCTTATCTTGAGTTAACTGCTTATTTCGTCTGAGTAGCGATATGTAGGGGAGTTAGGAACACACACACACACACACACACACACACACACACACACACACACACACACACTAAGTAAAGGCCCAGGGTGTGTTGTGTATCCATGAACGGGCCAGGGGGAAGCCATGTTTGAATTGTACAAACACAGAGGTACTTCTGTCCAGGAAAGGAAGTTCTGGAGAAGTTTATGTTTTTTCACCGGAAGGAAGCAAATTTAAGTCAACGGGGGAAAGCATTCAATACCCTTCGTGCTGGTGGGTTTTCTTCCAGACATTTCATTACCAAACTAGGTAACGTCATCAGTGCACTGACAAACAAATCAGTGGAACTGGCTGCTTCCAGAACTTGTGGTGGCTCACTCCATCAGTGGAGATTTTTTAAGAAGAGACGGGAGAACCATTTGTCTGAAACGGTCTAGGACCTCCTGCTTGAGCTGGACTAGAAGACCTCCAAGGCCCCTTTCAACTCTGTTATTCTATGTTCTATTCTACGTTCTATGTTCTAAGTCACATATGGTGGATAGTTACTTTACTATCCACCATAACTATGTTTTCTTCTGTTCAATCATGTCCGATTGTGGACAAGTCCTTGCAATTTTCTTGGCAGGGTTATTCAGATGTGATTTCCTGTTGTGGCCCAGCAGGAGCCATTGGAGCTGCCGATGGACTCCGGTAGCGAGGGACTCTATGAGTCGGCTCTGAAAGATGTGGAGGACCCTGGGCAAGGTGCAGACTCGGAGCAGGGACCAGAGAGGCTGGTTGGCCACCAAGAGGCCCCTGAGGCATGGAGCAGCAGTGAAAGTCACAGGGAGGTTGTCCCTGACATCAGGCACAGGAGCAGTGGGGAAGAGCAAAGGGAGTTGTCCTGGACGCCAGGCAGAGAAGGGCGGAGAAGCGACGGCAGCAATTACAGAGACAGACTCATAAGTTTTTAAGTTTAAGTTTAACTTTTATTTTATTTATATGCCGCCCTATTCCCTAAAAGGGACTCAGGGCGGCGAACAACTTAAATGGGAAGGGGAAACATACAAGTACAAAATAAACATATTAAAATGACCAACAACCACACCTGTCGAGAGGGGAGGGGAGCTCATCAACCCCAGGCCTTCCGACACAGCCAGATTTTGACAGCTATTCGG